TCATGTATGTAAGTGTACTTCATGCCCACTGCCTTCTTACCCTCATGGCAACCTGGGTGCAGACATCCTTCCCACTCCTGCAGCTCTTGGCCCTGACTGTACGAGGCACACTGAAGAACCAGGGAGACCCCCCCCCCCGCCCCGGGCTTCTTCCACAACTAAGAGAACTCAGGCTTAGTGGTGCGAGGGTTCTGAGGCAGGACAGGGTCTGGGCCCTGAGCAGCATGTTTCATGAACCAGTCACAGAGCTGAGAAGTTTTACTTTCCTTTGTTGATTCCAATTCACCGTGGCCAGTACCCCTGTGGGTGATAATCATGGGCTTGGGTGAAGCATCAGCATCAAATCACAAGAACCTGGTCCTGTGACCTGGTCTCTGGGTCTCTTGTCTCTGGCGTGGCCTGTCTACAAGCCGCAGAGGAGCAGCTGCACGCAGGAAATAGTGCCGTGGTTCGTGGATTCTGTACAGATGAGGAAACTGAAGTTCAAAGAGGACCAGCGACGGTTCCCACCACTGCACTCTCCTGCCTGTAGCTGGAGAAGAGCTCGGGCCCTGCCTGAGCCACCTGGACTGAGCTGGGACAATCAGAGCTACCCCTTCTAAACGGGCATGCCACTGCTCTGCTTCTGAACCTTGCTCATGCCTGGACAGCTGCCTGGTCCACGTGTGGTAACTAGAGTGTTGAGATGGCTTCTTCTGGAATTCTGATGACCTCTGGAACTAAAACCCAGCAACTGGGTACACCTGTGAGGAATTTTTATTAATTAAATCATGTAAAGTGGAAAGACCCACCTTTAATCCAGATCTCTTGAGGTGGGAAGATCCACCTTTAATCTGGGCTGCACCTCCGGCTGGTAGCCTGTATGAAGGACATGGAAGAAGGAAGCTTGCTCTCTTTGCCTGCTTGCTCTTGAACTTGTCGGCAAGTCTATTCCTTCCCTGACATTAAAGCCTACTTCTTTCAGATACAATGAAGACCAGCTGAGACACCCAGCCTTGTGAACTGAACAACTACTGGATTCTTGGGTTCTCCATCAGTAGACAGCCACCATTGGACTAGCTGAACCACAGCCTGTAAGCCACTCTTATAAGTCCCATAAGTAGATATTCATCCTATCAGTTCTGTTCCTCTGGAGACCCCTGACTAATACAAGCATCTTCTATCGCATGGATGGAAAGATTATGTGTGGATGCAGAGGCAGGTGGACCTCTGTGAGTTCAAGGCCAGTCTGGTCTACAGATCTGCCTACCTCTACCTTCTGAGTGATAGGATTAAAGGCATGTGCCCATCATACCTGGCTATAACTACAGTTTAATTTTATAGTTTAAAAATTACTTAATGAATAATGTTGGGAAATTTGCTGCTTTGAAATTATTATGAAACACTAGTATTCAAGACAGTACATGAGAGATATGGATTAATGAGCCCATTCAAAATGTCAGAATGAGACCAGGGAATAAAAAAGTCCAGACTGCCTTCCCAGGAGAGAAATAACTAGAACCAGACACCTGTAGGACAAAGCAGAGCCTTTACCTTCACTAATTCCCCACCATATAAAAAATTAATCAAAACTGGATCATAACCTACATAGTAAAGCTAAAAGTATAAAATTTCTATGCTTCAGAAATAGCTGCCAGGCACCTTTAACCCCAGCACTTGAAAAGCAGAGGTAGGTGGCTCTCTGTGAGTTCGAGGACAGCCTGGTCTACAGAGTGAGTTCCAGGACAGGCTCCAAAGCTACACAGAGAAACCCTGTCTCAAAAAAACAAAAGAATAAAACAAACAAATAAACAAATAGTTAAATCTGGAAAGCTGCCTGTAGAAAGATAAAAATAGATCCATATCTATCACCCTGCACAAAATTCCAATCCAATTGCTTTGAGGACATCAGCATAAGGCCAGATACCCTGGATCTTATAGAAGAGAAAGTAGAGAATTGGCTTGAACTTGTTGGCACAGGAAAAGACTTTCTGAACAGAACACCATTAGCACAGGCACTAAGATCAACAATTAATAAATGGGACCTCATGAACTGAGAAGCTTCTGTATGGCAAAGGACACCATCATTCAGACAAAGTGGCAGATTACAGAATGGGAAAAGATTTTTACCAACTATACATCCACTAGAGAGCTAATGTCTACAATATATAAACTATTCAAAAAGCTGGTCATCAAGAAAATAAATAACTCAATTAAAAGATAAAAAGCTTCTGGAAGCAAAGGACACCATCAATCAAGCAAAGAGACAGAATGGAAAAGGGTCTTCACTAGCTGTACATACGTCAGAGGGTTAGTATTAGGAAATCCTGATTGCTGAAGACATCACACACGTATATCATCAAACAGAGAAATTAAGCTGGTGCCCAACTAGAAGCTTCACTGCTACTGACGAGTGTGTTTATAGTGCTAGAAGGTAATATACTTAATCCCTAAGGAGAAGCGTAATCATCAATCTCACCCAGCTACAGATCCTAAAAGTTCTACCCACTGGTGCCATAGTGACACAATTGTTACAGAAGAAACCAACCAGCTTTTGATGGGCTATAAGGTCTGCTTCATGAGAGCGAACCCATACCTGAGATGGTTAGTGAGGCCAAGAACTTGAGACTAGATAGGTCATGGGCCCTAAGGAATCTACTGCAATTATTCTGCTAAATGAACACAGCAATGAAACAACTCCTAATCACACAGAGCTAAACCCCGTAGAATGGTGCACCTCAACTCACATTGAGAAGCTTCACAGAGACCTAAAACCAGATAATGTGCAGAGACAGATACCTTTGAGCACTTAACGGGATGTCTTTAGCCAACTCCTCCTTTCAAGACTCAAGGATCTACATTGAAGAAGAAGATGAAAGATTTTAAGACCCAGAGGTGGTGGACAACTTCAAAGAAACGGTGTCTTCAAGACACGACAGGCCAATGCACAGATGAACTCACAGAGACTGTGACAGCATCCTTGTACTAGCTAGTTTTATACTAACTTGACAAAAGCTATGGCCATCTGAGAGGAAGAAACCTCAGTTGAGAAAATGCTCCACAGGATCAGATGTAGGCAAGCCTTTAGAGCATTTTCTTAACCAGTGACTGATGGGGGAGGGCCCAGGCCACTATAGGTGGTATGACCTCTGGTACCTGAGTTCTGTAAGAAAGCGGGCTGAGCAAGTCACAAGCAACAAGTCAGCAAGAAGCATTCCTTCATGGCCTCTGCATCAGCTCCTGCCTCCAGGTTCCTGCCAGGTTTGAGCTCCTACCTTGGCTTCCCTCCGTGGATCATGACTCAGGACACGTAAAGCCAATAAATCCTTTCCTCTCCAAGTTGCTCTTGGTCATAGCAGTAGAAACCTTAACTCAGATCACTCAAAAGACCTATACAAGTTCCAAACAGACAAAATCCCAGCATGGAGAAGGGGAAGTAGGCACAGAGTACTACCCCTAACCAAGAAGTTATTTGCAACTGAGAGCTACTAGGAGGGGAGAAATCTATTTCATTTAATCAAAGAATTAACCACATCCCAGGCAGGCTGCATGCTCAGGAATAGTTGGCCAATACAAAATAGAATCCATGTTTTGTTTTGTTCTATCTTATTTTCTTTCTTTTCTTCTTGTGCCTTGTTTGTTTTGGTTTTGTATATTTTTAAGAGAGAAAAAAATATGAAATAGGATGGGTAGGGAGGGGGGATCTGGGAGCTTGTGGGGGATGGAAAAGAATGTGACCAAATATATGTGACCATATGGTATATTAAAACCTTTTAATCAAAAAAAAGTGACTCTGCTAAGCCAGGGGTAGTTCACACCTGTAATCTTGGAAGGCTGCAGTATGAGAATTGCAGGATCCAAGCCAGCAGGACTATTCAGGGGAATCCTGCCTCTAAAAACAATTAAAGAAGAGCTTATGAATTTGAGAGGGAGGAAGAGCAGGGGAAGTGTTGGAGGGGAAGGACGGGTAGAAATGATATAAATACTCTTGTATGAATTTCAAAAAATACTTTAAAAATGTTTTTGATAGCTATCTATTGAACAATGGATCTATTCGATTCACTGGTGCCTAGCTCTGTACTGAGGAAGAAGACAGCTAGCACCTTCGCAGATCTCAATCTGGTAGGAGACAGAAAATCATTCAGGAAGAGGCAGAGCCATTCTGAGCAGTGTACAGGAAACCAGGGCCAAGACAGCTATACCTCTGCTATGACATAGAGAATGAACGTTAGAGATGGCGGTCGGCAAATGTGGTGAGCATCTGACCAGAGGCATGCAGAGGAGAGGGACGTGGCAAATGCGGTGAGCATCTGATCAGAGGCATGCACAGGACAGGGACATTGCTAACTGCATTGGTTACTTTGCTTGTCAGTGCAGTGAAGAACCTGGAAGAACAAACTTAGGAAGAAAGGATCGGTTCTGGCTCATGGTTTGAGGACACACAATCTATTATGGCAGGGAAGGCACGGGAAAGCTTGCTCACATCTGGGTGCACCAGGAAACAGAGATACAAGAATCTCAGGTTGGTTTATGGGGTTTCCAGCCCATAAACCTGCCCCCAGTAACCCACATTCACCAACCAGACCCCATCTCTTAAGGGCTCCACAGCTTCTCACAACGGCACCACAAACCAGGGGCTAAGCGTCTACACGAGTCTATGGAGGGTGTTTTACATTTGAGCCACAATACAAGTCAAGGACAGCATAAAACACAGATGGGTGGGAGCTCCTAGGATGGAAAGAGCCAGGCAGGCTGTGGGGCCAGGCTTTTTACAGGGAAGGAATTATCATGGGACTGAACATGATCCACCTTATGAAGTCTCATTCATTCTACAAAGAAATTCAAAGTGGCAACAATAAGAGATGCACAAAGATGCCAGACATGTTTCAGAAAGAGAATCCACAGGAAACAAGATCCATTTTACACAGAGGGCCAGAGGAAGGCCGGGGAAGAGCACACTTCTAACAGAGCCAGTATACAGCAAGGGCACAGCACAGGCTCACCACGAGCAGTGGAAACCAGGAACCGCAGCTAAACTGAACTTTTATAGACTTTCTCATCATTGTTCCCTACGCAAAGCTGTAGAGCAACTGCAGCAAAGGTACACATTACTGCATGAGGTACTCTAGTTACCTGGAGATGGCTTCAGTACTCAAGGATGGGGGAGATGTGTAAATATCACCAAAGTTTCTATAAAGAAACTCTAGTGTCTGTAGATTCTGACAACCAATCAGTGTACCTGTACTGGCCAGTTATCCAACCACTTGACCTTCGTGGCTCAAGTTTAGGGGTCCAGCAGAACCACCTGGCAAGTTAGCCGAGACGATGGTGCCACTCCCAGAGTTTCTAACTCTAAAGGTCAGTGTTACTGAAATGTCCATTTCTAACCAGCCCCCACTTGGTCCAGAACCTTTTTTGCGGATCAGTGCCCTGATATGAAAAGAGGACCCAGCCTTCACTCCTCACTCCCCCCAGAAGCTGTGGCTTGAACTCCCTTGGGCTAAAATGAGCTTAGCCTCAAAAGCTCAAAGGGGTCGGGATGACCACCAGCTGACCCATCAACTGCCCACATAACCCACAGTAACAGCCTGAGTGTGGACTCTTCCTGGAGCAGGGCACACAAACAACTCCAGTCGAGGACGGCATGTGTGGAAAGAGAGGAAGATGGAGATGCTCAGAAGCCCTCAGCATGAAGATGGGAAGCCTGAGTAGGGGTAGGCCAGCCTCCGGAGTCCACAGCAGCATCTGAGAAACCCGCAAGGTGTGGGGCCCAGTCCTCCCTGCAGAGAGCAGCCTGCAGCTTCTGATGTGAGGAGAGCTCCTCACTGCTACCACTCTGCTTCTCCCATTAGACAAAGGAGCTCACAGAAAAAAACTTACATTTCCTGGCTTACATGTTCTTTCTTTCTGGATTTTTTTTCTTGTGGGGGAAGGGGGCACGACGATTTCACTGTAGCCCAAACTGGCCTCAAGTTTACTATGTAGCATAGGCAGGCCCAGATTAGCAATCCCCGTCTCAGCCTACTGAGTGTTGGGGTTACAGCTTAACCCACCAAACCAGCTCTTGGTCAGACTTTTCACATAAGCCTAAGGATGGCGCTAAGCGGCGGAGCGCTTGCCTGACAGGCAGGATGCTCTGAGTTCCAGCCCCAGAGCCACAGGAGTGAGTGTGGAAATGAATGAGAGGACTCTGTTCATGCAGGGATGCCCTTGAGCTTTTGACCCCTCCCTAAACATGGTTCTCTCCTTCATTCATGCTTTACCAGACTTTCCCGGACCAGGCATATCTGATAAAGTGTGACAGGCACCCTTTCCACCTAGCCCGTGTTGCCACAAGTCCATCCAGCACATGAGATAGAGCCACCGGCTGGTGCAGAAAGGCAGGGAGCACCAGGACGGGGCCCTGTGCCACACAGCAGCCCTCACCTGGGATGGACTCCTTACCTTCTCATAGGGACAGTACTTGATCATCTTGATGGGGCTTGTGCAGATAAAGACATCAGTGCTGCCGGGAGAGAAAGGACAGTGAGTCGTGCCGTTATCTCCATATCACCGCGCATTGCCCACCTCTGCTACCAGAGCCCTGCCAGGGTCTAAGCCTGTACCTGTCACGGGAAAAACCCCTGTTCTGATCTTCCCCATGAGAGGCTACAGCTTGTAATTTCTTCCTGAGTCAACGGTCCTGGGAAGCCACAGATGAAATGCCCTGGTCACAGGCAACAAACTCTGAGGTGGGCAATTTTTGCAGGACTAGACCCAGAAGGTTAGCTGGGTTAATTGCATACTCTTGTTGAGTAAGAAAACGGAGAGAAAGAAGCATTAGTTACACACACAGCACTGAAAGGATGCAGAGGGCTGGGGGCCCAATGGTAGAAAAAGTGTGTCGCAAGGCCTTGGGTTTCTTCTTCAGCACCAGAAAGGAAGGAGGGAGAAAATAAAGGGAAAAAATACTGCAGACCCTATAGACAGATGAAAGAGAATCGCACTCCCAGTTAGTTGGAAGAAAATTACCCTTCATCACCTGCTACCCTCCACCACCTGTTACCCTCCACCACCTGCTACTCTCCACCACCTGCTACCCTCCACCACCTGCTACCCTCCACCACCTGC